CCCCCACCCCCAAGTGTGGGATCATCTAGATGAACCCATAACTTTTACTACCCTATATTTTTGGCTAATATATATATATATATATAAATCTTGAACCCATTAAATTTTATGAAATATGATTAAATTGCGTATTTGAACACAAAAAATTTAAATCTTGAATTTGGTTGTACGTATAATATGCAAAAAATAAAAAAATAAAATAAAGGACAAATAGTTGAAGTTAGCAAAGTAAGGACAAATAGTTGAAGTTATCAAAGTTTGACTTAGGCGTTGTTTCTGGATAGAATTTGCAGCTTTAGTTAGAGCTAGCAGAAATTGTTGATTGAAAGCGCCTAGTAAGAAAGAAGCAGTCAATCTTGAAAAATAGATTTTTCAGAAAATAAGGCCCGTTTGGTCATGAGTTTTGTCAAAATAAATTTAGAATTTATTTTCACAATATATATTTGGCCATAAATTTTGCCCATAATTTGGCCAAATCCCAAATTCCAAATCCCATACACAAAATACCAAAATCAGCTATTGAGCTGATTTTGAATAGCTGATTTTGGGTCAAAATCCCAAAACATGGGAATTATATACATATTTTTCCAAAATAAAGTTGGAAAATATGTTTTGAAAACGTATGTCCAAACACATTTTCATCTTCAAACCAAGCTAGCGTTTGAACATAGATCCCAAATTTATTTTGAAAAATCTGATTTGGGTGAAGTTTGGTTTGAAGATGAAAATGTGTTTGGACAAACGTTTTCAAAACCTATTTTCCAACTTTATTTTGGAAAAACATATATATAATTCCCAAGTTTTGAGATTTTGGCCCAAAATCAGCTCACTACCTGATTTTGGGATTTGGGATTTGGCCAAAATATGGGCAAAATTTATGGCCAAACATGAGTTTTGAAAATAAATTTCAAATTTATTTTGGTAAAACCCATGGCCAAACGGGGCTCAAACTTCACCCAAATCAGATTTTTCAAATAAATTTGGGATCCTAGCTAAAAGTGTGTCACGTTTCATGTAATTTTCCTAAGACCGAATTGACGATTCAATCTGTTAATTAATTTAATCTCTAGGAGCATGTAATCCTATGTTTTTTACGAATTGAGTTAATTATCCTATAAAAAATATGTAATCTAATGTAACTCAATAGTTTTTACTTTACTATCTTTACTAACGGGGACGGAAGTAGTTTTGATTCGAACCATGTATCTATCTTAAGAAATTTATTAAATATGCATGAATTATTAATTTAGAATCTAATAACTTAAAACGGTTATAATCCCGAACCCTTACGCTTAAAATTCTGGCTCCGACTCTATTTACTGTAATACGTATTATTTAAAATTATTAAGTTAGAATCATCGTAAGAAAATATCATTAAAAAGGGAAGAAAAAAAGAAACATGGCATGAAATTAAAGTGGATCCATGTCCATAAAGAAGAGAACAATACCTCTCGTGATTTGAGTCCTCTTTTAATTAATCCTCCATTATTATGACTTTGTTCTTCTATCAACGGATCACTTCCACCGTTGTTGTTCATGCAAAGTTGCATAATTTTCTCAGCAACTTCATTCTTATCTTTGCACTGCATCATCAGTTTCTCCACCTCAGCTTTTGGCAGCCTCAACTTAACCCTAACGGGCCCACCGCCGTTCTCCGGCTTACTAAGGAGTGAGCCTGAAGCAGAGTTATTCTGATACGATGACTCTTCTGTTATAATACTGGCAGGCTTCAAGATTGACAAGTCAGACACGGATCTCCGTGCTAACATTAGGGTTTCGAGCCGATCTTTCGCGCTCATTTGGATCCCTGAACGGACCCTCCTCGGGGTTTTCTGTTCAGGGTATTTAGGTAACTCAACTAGGAAATAGAGCCTTTTAGGTTTCAACTCTTGTTGTGGTTCCAATGGTTTTGCTCTGACCCCAAAATGCTTCACTGCTTCGGATTCTAATAATACCATAGTAGGATAATTTCTTAGAACCTCGTTTGCATAAATAGGTGTCTTGAATTTCATTGTTTGTCCATCAATTTTCATCACCTTTGTTGTCTTTTTTCCTCCTAGAGTATTCCCCATTGTTTCCTATATTTCTTTGTGAATTATATATTGGGGGCTTCAAGTTCTGCTTCTTCCTATTATATATAATCAAATCTAACAACCAAAAATAAGAAGAAAAGAACAATGGTGAAAAAGGCTTGGTTTGGATTTAATATATAAACCTTTTAAAATCTTGGCACAAGAAGAGAACAAAAGGCAAAGTGGGTGAAAGATAAGGATGTTGGAAGGATTAGAAATGGGAACAAGAGGGTACATAAGTAGTTGTTTGTTAATGGGACAAAGAAAGAGTGCAAATTTGAAAATTGGCCATACTTTTGGCAATATACAAATAGATTACTAATATGTCAACTTCTTTATAACAGCCTCATTTGTTTCGGATATTTTTGGATGTTATAGCAAAGTGCTTTTATAGAGAACATATATTATAACATAATATGAAAATTGATTCCGAAAAAGTTTGGCTTTTATTGTGAAGTGTTGTTATAGAGAGGTCTGAATATATATATATATATTAAAAAAATTTATTTTGTTTCGTTCATTCGAAACAAAATTACTACTCCTTCGGGGTGGGGGTAAGGTCTGCGTACAAATTACCCTCCCCGGGCTCCACTAGTGGAATTTTACTGAGTTATTGTTGTTGTATTTTGTTTCGTTCATTGTTTAATTACCCTGTCTCGAGACTTGTGGTCTTTCCTTTTAAAATCTAATAAAATAATGTGGATAGCGTTACTCATTTGCATGCTAACGAAATAACTATGTTCCCACATTTTAATGCGAAGAAATCAGATTTTGGAGCCTATCAATAGTTCATCTTTTGTACATTTTGGTTGGTCATTTTGTTGGTCATCATTATATATTGTAGTATATTATATTATATTATTTTAATAAATAAAATATTTAGATAAATTATATCGTTTCAGTCGTTTCACGATGCAAATAATAAACTTATAATATTACAACAACAAAAAGAGTAGGATAAGGGATAAAGGATAAAGGATAAAATTGGATTATACAGCAATAAGAAATGGAAAAAGTTGAGAGAAAAATACATTTTATCATTTAGACGAAAAAAAATATTATGATTTTTAAGAACTCAACGGGCCCTTCCCCTTCGAATCAAACAAACAAAGAAGGGAATCCCGTTGAGTTCTTACGCTTTCATGTTGACGACTCAATTCAGATATATAGTAATAATGCGATCATACCAAATTGGTCGTTATATAAAATGGTGTTTTTCTTCGTTATATAATAACGGATTTCAAAATACGATACAATAAATTTTAAGTAATAATAAAAAAAAATTTAAAGTAACAATACAATATAATACAATAGGCAATAGCCATCCAAACTAGCGGTTAGTAAACGAATGTTATATCAAAATACGCTCATTTCAATACTCTTCTAGTCTTCTTCTCATTCATATTCTATTTCAAAATAAGAAAAATAACTAAAAAAGAAAAAGAAAAACAAGCCCGTGAATGGTGGGGAACGATTATAGTTTTGTTTGTAGCGTAATTTGGCTATCATTTAAAATTAATTAGTGCAGTGTATTCTCACTGGTTAATTAAAATAACTACTACGGTTGCTTAAGGAAAAGACGTATACGTAAATTGCGGTGTGGATCCGTGAATTGGTGAGAGATCCCGTTTCATCATCATGTGCTTTTTTGACCTTATGTTCTTTTTATTTTTGTTTTTTTATCTGTTTTCAATATTTTTATTGGGTCCCGATTAAATTTGAATTCATATTGGAAAAGTCCCACATTATGCAATAAAATATTACTTAACAAAAGTGACTTTATACAACGAATCAAATTCAAAATCTCTGATTAAAAATCAAAAAATACTTATTATTCTATCACAATTAGTTTTGACCATATGTTTTTATGTGTTAGGAATGATCATAACTTACGCTCAATTGGGACTTGTTCTAATTTCTATATCTTGTCCCCATGCAGTGTATGCAAAGAGGCTAAGGCAACCTATAATACCATTCCACTGCACGTAGATCTATGAATGCATGTAAACAAACACTAATTATTTATATAATCATATTATGTAAAGGTAAAGTGTGATCGACTGGGAATTTTGTTGGGTTTGTTATTTAATAAATAATAACAAAAGAGGTGTGAATGGAAAATAGTGGGAAAAGAAATAGAGGGATGACCCGCGACCCGGTCCGTTCTAGCCCGTTTTTCTTTTCCGGATTAATTTAAATTCGTTTTAAATTTTCCGCAAAAATTTCGAACAGTCATGGCTGTTCTGAAACAGTGTCACACCTGTTCCAACAACCATGACTATTCTGAAAAGTTGCAAACCTCTTCAGAGGGTCACACCTGTTCCAACAGCCACGACTGTTCTCAAAGGCTGCAAACCTCTTCAGAGGGTCACACCTGTTCCAACAGTCATGACTATTCTGAAAGGTTGCAAACCTCTTCAGAAACATCATCAAGTTGGCTATAAAGAGACCTTCAAATCCCAGAATATTTACTTACGAAATTTTCTGATTATCTTCTTCTTCTGCACTAAAATTCCAGTGTGTTTTGCTGTCATCGAGTGGTTCGCTGATCATCGGCGTTTTTGGTACCAACACTCCGGTGAGTTAAATCGTTCTACCCTGGAAGGATATATTCCATAACCTCGGGTACTTGAGGGGAATAATTTCCTTAAGGACACACTGTGTATTCAGTGGGCTCGATTTGTTCCTTCAACGTTTCAAATATTATTTTGAAGTTCGAATATTATTTTTCAGAATTGTTTCTACTAACTTTCTGTTTTATTTTTCAGAAAGATTACTGTTTTATTTACTTACAGCAATACAGATAAATAACACTAATTTCATTATTCACCAACTTCCTTCTGTTGTCTTTCTTTTTGGTAGTTTAACTTCTCTTGTTCCCCTCTTTTAAATAGTTGTGTTTGTAATATTTAATTTTGTTGATTCCTGTATCCTCTAAATAAATAGAGATGTGCTTGTTTAATCCTAGAAAAATATTGTACATTGCTGAAATAGTTTTTTAGGACAGTGCCTACCACGACTCAAGCCAGTTGGTATATTTCCGTTCACAAATAATTTTATTGCAGTATTATTGTTATTTTTCCGTATCATTTCCCTACAAGAAGTAACAAGTTGCAGCATCGATGCACTTGATCAACGTGCCAAAAAAGTGGACCCCGTTTGTTAAGCAGAAGCGGATCTAGAATTTAAAATTATGGAGTTTGATTTTGTTATCAAACTCATAGTCCGTCTTAATTATTGGGTTTGCAAATAAATAGTTACATAGAAATACTTAATAAATTTTTGTAATACAAATACAAAATTTAAGTAACAACTAAAGAGTTATCCGAACCCGTAATTAATACTCTACCTCTATCCTTTCATTGAAAATGGACTTATCGATGTTGCATGTATTTTTATCACAACTTTATGCTAAAGTTGGGTTTTTCTTTTTCCTTTTTTCTTTTTCTTTTTTGAGGGGGGAGGGGTGGTTTGGGGGGAGAAGAATTACTCATTGATGCATTTGCTTGTTCCCTACTATAGAAAAATAGCAATTACTCCATACCAAAGGTATATAATATTCATATATTGGTTACCGTTAAAAGTACAATTGAGGTAAAAGGTCAATATAAATATCAAAAGGTCACTTCTTGAGTTTACAACATTGGAAAGTTAGGTCCATCCAATTTCCAAATTATTAGTACTAGTATTTGCTAGACCTTTCACTAACTTACCCTACCTATAATTCTAGTGATCACACTTATTTTATGTTACAAAATTTATTTGAGGGTAGGTTGAACATCTGTCTCTCTAAAATATTTCTTTTCATTTACAAAACTAGCCCTTTTTCCCCCTCTTTTGTGTAATGACAAAAAAATGTCTACATCCAAGAAGAAAACGTTAGTTAATTATCTTTCAATCTCAACTTGGTTATCGAAATTCAAAATAAATGTCCTTTCAGCATGTAATATTTAAAATGAAATATATGTGATGGAGAATAATTCAAATGGCAAAGGGTTCACATTAGATTAATGGACATAATTCTTGATTTTGAAGATACGTTTTGTGGACATACTTATTCTCAAGTTTGAATTTAAAGAGTAATGACTCATAACCAAGTGAATGGTCCAAACTTAATTCCCAATTTTGGTACTATGGACTTTTATACTACAACAAAGTGGTTATGGATGAAAGAATACTTAACACTGACTGTTGTTGCTTCGAGTCCTTTTTGTATGGAGTCCTATTAGTTAGGGAGTATTTTACCTTCCAATGTGGGACTTTTCGGTGCAAATTCGAGTTTACTTGGCCCCAATGCTAATACCTAACAAAAAGGGCAGGACAACTTGATGTACAGGGTTCGCAGAAGGTCCGCACCCCAAGGGGTGTGATGTAAACATCTTACCCTAACACCAGCATTAATTAGTAGTGGTTGCTTCCACGGCTCAAACACGTAACTTATAGATTACATGGGGACAACTGTTGGGTTTTTTGTATTTAATATATTAAATACATAAAAGAGGGTGAATGGAGAATGGAGGAAAATAAAATTTTTGAGTGATATTTTAAGTTTTCCCCCTTGGCAAATGGACATTGTCCCATATTGGAAGAAGAAGAGTTTTTTTATGGTTGTATAAGCAATTGCTCTTCTTCTAGCTCTTAAAGAGTTGAGAAGAAGGCAAGCCTCGCGCCGTCGTCGTCGTCGCTCGCTCGGCTCGGCTTCGGCTTAACAGAAATGTTATTAAATATTTATTTTAATAACGGAATATTAATATTAAAATAAATATTAATATTAAATCCTCCAATCCGTTTTTTCTGTTTTGGTAACAGAAAATTAACTACCCTCTTCAATTTTCCCTCTTTATTGTTTAGTAAATAGCTATTTATGTAATGGCATTTATGCTGTGACCGTATTGCATAAACAGCCATTCTGAAGAGTTGCACCTCTTCAGATTCCAGCCCAACTTTGGCTATAAATACAAGGCTATTCTGCTCAGAATTTTCATACGATTTTCTGAGTTTCTCCTCCTTCTTCTGCATACTTTTAGCATCAAACAAAGCAACAGTAAGTGTGATTTGCTACCGAACTTTGTGTTCGCTGAAACACTATGGTTTGAAGTACCACTACACCAGTGTGTAATTTGTTCTATCTTGGGAGGAAATAATCCATAACCTTAGGTACTAGGAGGGGATTAAATTCCTTAAGAAAACACTGTGAATTCAGTGGGCTCGAATTGGTTTTATGTTATTTCGTTGTTCATTTCTGTTTATGTTCATTTATATTTCCAGAATTATTTTACAA